AACAAATCTGTGTCTGGGATCATCTGCAGGCCCAAAGCAATTTGGGGTTCCCACCATTTCAGTTTGGCAGGGTGCTTGAGGTTTTTTCAGAGGAGTTGCAGATGGCATGTGGAATTCAAACCTAATGGCAGATGGCACTGCAGAGCCATGGGTGCAGAGAAACAGCTGTGGTGCAAAGCCAGTACAGTTGCTGTGGTCTTCTTCTGCCTTTTTCTCCTACACTTGCCAAGAACAGAGCAGCAAGCAAAACATTTCTGTGTCACCTCAAAAATGGTTACTGGGCTGTTGGCTCCAGTCAGTGTTTGCGTGTCAGGCAGCACGCAGTCAGCAAGGCACCAGTTTCTTGCAGAAACAGAGGTGGGAAGTTCCAGGTGGCTCCCAAAACACTGGGTACAGCATCATATGAAAGGCTCAGAGCACCTTTCCTCTGGACTATGGGAAACACGGTATGTTCTGAATCTGTCTTGTATGTTAACTGCATTACCAAAAGTAAGGAAACGTGTTAGCTGAAGGCACCACATCAAGGAGGAATAATAAAATCCCTTCTTTTACCCCATTGGCTTCTCATCTGGCTGTAGCTGAAGTGAAATAACTGCTCAGCTGAAGGTTTGTCTGAGCTGTGGGCCAGGCTCAGCCAAGTCTGTATACTACCAGAGGCCTAAGCCTACACTGTTTCTGCAGCTCTGCAAACATTAGCCAGAAGCTTGTTAGCAAAGAGCCTTTTTTTGACATGCAGGACAAGTTCAATGGTGTTATTGTGTCAGTGGACAAGGGAAGAAACACTGATGTCATCTATTTGGACTTCAGTAAGGCCTCTGACACGGTCCTCATACACCCTTGTCTCCAAATTGGAAAGATATGGATTTGATGTGTGTACCATTCAATGGATGAGAGACCCAGAGAATGGAGATCAATGACTCAGTGTCCGGATGGAGAATGGCAACAAGCAGCATCCCTCAGGGATCAGTACTGGAACTGGTGATCTTTAACATCACCAATGACATGGACAGTGGGATCAAGTGCACCCTTAAGTTTTAGGATGACACCAAGTTGAGTGGTGCTGTTGACACACCTGAGGGACAGGATGCCACTCAGAGAGATTAGGCTGACTGAGCAGTGGGCACAGGTGAACCTCATGTGGTTCAACAAATCTAAGTAAGTGCAAGTCTTGCACCCGCGTTGTGGCAACTCCTGCTATCAGAACAAGCTAGGGGATGCAAGGATGGAGCACAGCCCTGCCAAAGAGAACTTGGGTGTAATGGTGGACAGGAAGCTGGACATGAGCCAGCAACATGCCCTTGCAGCACACAAAGTCAACCATACCCTGGGCTGCATCAAAAAAAGCATGGCTAGCAGGTAGAGGGAGGTGATCCTGCCCCTCTGCTCTGCATTCATGAGACCTTTCCTGGAGTACTGTGTCAAGATGTGGCATCCTCAGTACTGGAGAGATGTGGGCCTGTTGGGGTGCATCCAGAGGAGGGTCACAAAAATGAAAAAAGGAGCATTTCTTCTACAAGAACAGGCTGAGAGAGCTGGGGCTGGAGAAGAGAAGGCTCCAGGAAGAACTGATAGCAGCCTTTCAATACCCAAAGGGGGCTACAAGAAGGGAGGGGACAGACTCTTCAGTAGAGTCTGCTGTGATAGGAGAAGAAAAATGGTTTCAAACTAAAGGAGGGAAGATTTAGATTGAATATAAGGGAAGATGTTTTTTTACAATAAATGCTCTGAGGCACAGGAACAGGTTGCCCACAAAGGTGGTTGATACCCCATCCCTAGAGACATTCAGGTCAGGTCCATCTTCCATCTGCCAGCCATAAAGGCAGTATCCTTGTCTGGTGGCTGGCAGGCAGTCCTGTCCTAGACCTGTCCTAGACCTGGAACCAGCACTCCTCATCTTTTTGATTTGCAGAGGCCTTCTATTGACAGTTTAGTGTACCTTTCCCAGTTCACACATTTTCTTGTTGCGCTACAGGCTGCCATAACAAATAAACAAAACCCAGAAAGGTCAGTAATCAGCACAGATCTACTTGCAGAAAATACAAAATCAGATTTTTGTTTGTTTTTTACAAGTTATGTCACAGTCTCCACTGAAAACACTTGGCAAGAGAAAATAATTATTTGTATATCTGCATTACATTGACCTTTTAAAACATCAGTATTTACTGGTGCCTTCCACTGCAGATGTTAAATTAACATTCCCAGTTTGTAATAGGGAATCACCTTCAGTCAGCATTCCTGTCAGCATGATGAGGAGCATCACTCCACAGTAATGGGCACCTTGATTACAGTTCTATGTAGGGTTTAAGGTGGGTACAAGAATTTTTTCCAGAGCTGGAAGTGATTTTGAAAAAAAGACTATGTAGGGAACTAAATGAGAGAAATTGGATTGCTAAAGAGAAACCAAAGGCAAATCCCAATGGTCCATGGTCACTCACCTTTAGTCCCTGATATCTCCAGGAGCTCAGCTCACAGGCTGCCAGCTGCCTCTCAGTATCACAGAGGCTGGTACATCCTCATGCAACGTGATGACTGTAGAAGCCTCTTCCATCCTCTGTTTGGCTGCTCTGTTGCTCAGCAAGTTCTTTGCACGCACTACTGGGATAATCTGCAGTAGCGCAAGGGACAACACCAAGCAGGAACAAGCCAGACCTCAGCCTATTCCATCATCTCACCTAACCCCTCCTACAGCAGGAAGACAGCGCTCTAATAGCTTCATTAGAAACACCTTCATTAAATGTCAACAGGCAAGCACAGGAAAGAGCAGAGCAAAGACCCTGGGGGAGGGGAAGAGTGGAGCTCTACTAATTTTCTCATCAGACACCCTTCTCCATAACTGCCTCCTGGCTTCTGCTCTGAAAGTCAAGTGGAATTGTCAAGAGGAATCACCTGTGATTTAAAGAGAAGCTTTCCTCCAAGAGCTATGTAAAACTGCTACCTTCCTATTTACAGCCTCTGGGGACAGGGAATCAGAGCTACTGAATTGAAGGGGTGGAGGCAGAAAGCATTGCTCTTTTCTAAATTCTTATCAGCCCTTATCTGAAATGCAGATGGGAAACGGGCTCCTTAGCTGTGAATGAAGGAGATCACTGTGTGCTGCCTATCCAAGCTCAGGAGATGGAGGAGAAAATTAAGCATGATAGTCATGTGGTTATCCCCTTCCTCTTCCTCCAGAGGCAGGAGATATTGTGCTTTTCTTTAGGTGTTGGCATCTTTGGAGTTTAAAGGACTTGAGCAGGTTGCTTCAGCCTTGGCTTCTTGCTGGAAGCCCCATCAGAATTTGGTTAACAAGGAACTGCAGCATCTGAGACTACTGGAAAACTTGTGTATATGTATGTTCCTCTGCGTGTGTGTGTCTGCAGCTATATAGAGATATATTTAAAAGAAGGTTAATTGGTCTCCTGGGAGCAATAAAGAATTTGTTAGGTTCCTCTGTGTGAGCTGTGACTGTATGAAGCCTAATTACTGAGCCTGAGTTATTCTTTTTGGAGGGGGAGGGAATCTCTAAGGTCCTTATTAAAACCTACAAAAGTCTAAAGAATGATGGAATTAGAATTGATTGTCCATGTTGATCACAAGCGCAGAGCAAATAAAAATGTTGAACTCACCCCATGAAACACTAATGGGGGTCATATAGGTATGGTTTACACATCACTATTATTGGGAAAAACAGAAATCACTGTGCTGAATGACAGGACTGGGAAATAGAGGACAGCAGATTTTCAGGTAACGTGTATTCATTATGCTTGTGGCAAGAAAAAATCACTCAGTTGTTCTTGTAGGGACCATTTTGCAAAGCATTCATCTCAAATGTATTTTCAGCACGATTAACCTTGTAAAATAAGAAATGAAAAGGCCAACAGGAAAGAGAAAAGAGGCTCTCTAACTTGGGTTTGGTCTGAAATGCCCAAAAGCATTTGGGATGCTTTTGCACTGCTCTCTCAAGGTGGCAGAGATACCGCTTAGGTATGGGCAGTTCACAGAATGCTCCCTGTGTGCTGCAGCTTGGGTTTGGAGGAACTGTAATCGCAATGAGAAAAGCTGATGGTGCCTTTCCATCCCTTGCACCCCACAATCAGTGATGGCAGGACAAAATGGAGAGCTTCAAGTAACAACAGCACTGCAGCCAGGCTGGAATGATTGATGCAAGACAGCTGTTACTTGATTCAGCATGGGGTCTCTCTGCAAAATGTGGCAGCTAGGTGCTGCTGCTCATATCTGAATCAGGAAAAAAAATCCTCATAAGTGGCACAACCAGCACGTCTGCTTGCTTAGCCAACGTGCCTTCATCCCTGGCACACTTGCTTTCTACTGCACTTTCAATATCTTCCTGCAGCCACAGGCCAGCCTTCACTGCAGAAGACAAGCTGGAGTGGGGAAGCTGTGAGAGAAAACCTGCCAGCAACATGTCCCCACAGCACTAGCAGCCCTGGTGGCAGTGCTGGGACATGTGAGGCTCCAAATGAAACCACTCAATAATCGATTGAAACCAACCAGAACACCTGATTCTTTCCTTGACCAAGCTGAAAGAGATGAAAGTTTTGTGTTAACAATAATGAAAGTGAAGCATTAGTTACACCCCTGCACTAAGGAATCTCTGCAGAGCAGCCCAGAGAAGCAAGGCAGGCAAGAAGTGCTCACAGGACTCTGACTCAAAATCCTGAGCCTTGTACCAGCCTAAGGCCAACCAAGCAGCTTGCATTGTTTGGGCAACGCTGATTGATTAGACCTCATTGCGGCCTTCCAGTACTTGAAGGGAGCATATAAACTGGAAGGGGAATGGCTGTTTATGAGGGTGGATAGTGATAGGACAAGGGGAATGGTCTTAAACTGAGACAGAGGAGGTTTAGGTTAGATATTAGGAGGAAGTTTTTCACCCAGAGAGTGGTGATGCACTGGAACAGGTTGCCCAAGGAGGTTGTGGATGCCCCATCCCTGGAGGCATTCAAGACCAGGCTGGATGTGGCTCTGGGCAGCCTGGTCTGGTGGTTGGGATCCTGCACATAGCAGGGGGTTGAAAACAGATGATCATTGTGGTCCTTTTCAACTCAGGCCATTCTATGATTCTATGACTGGGCATATGTCCCCTACAGCTCTACTCATGGTAGTACACATACCTTCAGGATGCTCTGTAGCTTTTCTCATCCGATGCCAGGTAAATCTGACCCTCTCCTAGTACCTGTCTTTTCCTGCTGCTGTGCTTGCACCATTGTGGTGTCCTGTACCAAAAGGCAGTGCTGCAGATGTGTCTGCATCCATAAGAGCTGGTGGGTATCTCCTGCTGTATAAATCAATGCACCATCTTAGCTCACACACTGAAGTTCTTTTCATTTACAAGTCTTAGTAGTAGATATAGAATTATAAGATAACGCAGGTATCATCTTTACACTAAGACATACATTTCAAATATAATGTGTCCTTTTAAAACCAGAAAATAGCTCTAAAAGACTGAGCACCTCTCACATTTCCTCATTGTCCATCAGTGATGCCATGGCTTTGTCAGAAATCCCAATAAATGCAAAGGTCTGACCTCTCTCCCAGACAATTTCCTTTTCATAATAGCAAGAAGACCCAACCAAGCAGTGAATTTCTGTCAGGATTATTGCACTTCTTGAGTGGCTGATACGACTTGGCCTCTGGCCTCAAGCCATGCTACATACTCCAGAAGTGCACTGCATTTCATAGGTTATTGCTTGCATATTACTACCGGGCAAGTGAACACTCCATACACTGGAACAAATTCAAATGCCTTGAAAAGAGATATCTTCCTCAGTGTTGGCATTCTTGTGCTGGGGCTGTAAATTATGCCCAGAGTGTTCATTTTCTTTTTAAATGTGTTCCCGTCTCATAATAATTAATGGTGTCAAGTGACTGGTGTGAAGAAAGCCTGACTTTATAACAACTACAGATTAATGAAATAACAGTCATGGCTGGAGTAGCAGCAATAAATTGTTGAGAGGAGAGACACACCTGGAGCGATATTTTCAGGGGCCTTAAATTATCTAGGTTTCAATGTTCCTCATAAATATTTGGCTTTTGTTAACATTTGTTTCTGTGTTAAAAGTGGAAGTCAGCAGCTCTGGTAACAGCAACTCCCCTGTAGATGAGTGTGGGCAAATGGAGCACATATGCTTTCCAAGAAATGCTCCTCTTCCCCAGGGCTGATATCCTGGTTCAACGGATCTCTGTAGGTCTTACAGCTTCAACACAAAGTCATGTCTGCTTGGTGAGAGGGAGAAGAAAGGAGATGTGGAAAAGAGGGAAAAAGACATATAGTTGGCCTGATAGAAACATGGAAGTGAATTTTCTTAGAAGTACAGTTAACCAGTGCCATAGAATTATAGAATCCTTAGAGTTGAAAGGGACCGTTAAAAGTCATCTAATCCAACTCCTCTGCAATAAACAGGGACATCCACAGCTAGATCAGGTTGATCCGAGCCTGGTTTGGTATGCTGGACTGCTCACATGCTTGAGCCCCAGTCTTCAGCAGCAATTAGGGTGAGCACTTCCCTGCTTGAGAAGAAAATCCTACTTAGTGTGTACTACAGTGCCTATACTCTCGAATTTGAAGTACAATTTGGGGAAAGTGGGCACAGTAAAACCAAACTCTGAAGGCTCAGAAAGGTCTACAAACCACACCATGAGCTTCCTGAGCACCTGCTCAGTGCAACTGTCTGCGATGGAGATGCAAATGTGATGCCACACTTCTCTTTAGGTATTTGACTGTGTAGATTATGGAGGTTCAGAGGCAAGCAGCACTTCTGTGCACTAGCAGAAGGTTTGGCTTCAGCCCTAAAAGAACTTCACAGTGACACAAGGATGCTTTCACAACCTAGTCACCCTAGAAACCAAGTCATCCTCATTGTATATTGAATGCAGACACATACTGCATATATAAATTCACCTCTAAAAATTCAAGATGCAATTTAGAATATTGGGAATCTTTTAAAGAGCAGTGGATCTGGCTTTTGGAAGCCACATCTAACGGGAAGTCAAAGGGAAAAATATGATCTCTCTACTTATTTTTATGACTATATCTTGAAGTGCTGGCATACACCAGCACAAACAATTGACTAGTCATCTCAATGAAATTATATCATTTTGTTGCAAATGAGGATGGGATGTGTTTCTCAGTATTTATTATCAATTAAATCATGTGTTGTAAATGGATAATCAAGTGTTACCATCTAAATTAGGTGTCTGGTAGAAAAAAACATACAGCTGTGTTCTAGTCAACAAGCATAAGATGTACGGTTTGACTTTGTGATCATTCAGAGATAACAGAAATCATACAGAAATCAATACCTAGAAAGCATGTGTGAGAAGCTCAGCAGGAAGTTGTGTCCTATATCACTGAGATTCTGATTTGATTCTCAATTCTTACTACCTTCACTGGTGTTTGGATTTGAGGTTCTGGTTATTAAATAGAAACAAATTAAATTTATCCTTGCTTTATGTTTAAGTTTGTGGTTTTATCAGCATGTCTTAAAAGCAAATATTAAGACTTACTCACTACCATTTTGACTTGTAGAAGTTAAAGACTTTCTGAAAACATCACATATTCCTCCAAACCTTAACTCAATCCAGAAGATAATAGAGAAAAACTAATAAACACTAAATATTTTTGTAAAGAAAGTAGGACCTGATGAAAATATACCAAAACCACTGGGAAGTTTCCTAATGTAACAAGAAGAATTCCGTATTCTTTCTCCTTGAATGTCTTGTTTTCCAGATTGGGGTTTTATTCAGTGTACTTTCATGATGGCCTCACACTGTTCCTTTAAGTCCATCAAGGCTTGCATCAGGCTGTGATCTGTCCCATGGGTCACTTTCATAATATCATAGGCCTGGAGAAGAGAACAGAAGGGGACAAGTTAGAGGGCACGGGGCACGGATGTAAGTGCCAGCTCTCAAGGTGGGAGCTTTAGTGCATGGCACAGTATCTTAAGTATCTCAAAACTCATAACAATTTGTCTCTGACAAAGGAAGTACTGGCGCATTATTCTTAGATGTTAAATCCTTGCTAATGTATTGCACAGAAGGATGTTTAGCATAGCAGAAGAAGGTGCTTTTGCACTGAGGCATGAAGGCAATTTTAAGATTGATCACCTATGGCTCTCAAGGTTTTGATACATTATTTCAAAAATGACTGTGATATTTATGTGATATTTAGTAGCCACAAAGTCCTATAAGTAGAAATGAATTGTGCTTAACAAATGGAATTAAGTGCTCAGACTATAAATGGAGAAATGATGCACAGCTTCAAACAAAAAGAGTCTTTGGAGGAACAAATGAAATTCTACTTCAAACTTCTAGAGATGGGCAAGCACATGGAAATTCTGTCATCACTTATTTTTGTTTTCATTTAGCTACTATTTTAGAAGAAGAGGTAGGTGGCAAAATGTTGGAAGAACAAGTTGAAATAGCAGTCAAAACAAATCAGTGTGCAAAAAACTCTACAAAGTTAACTTCTGAGCAGCACAATGCCTTACTTCTACATGATATAACACTGTTAAACACAACAAGGGAAATTCTTCACGTTCACTTTCTTTAGAAATGCCTGTGAAATGTTAAACAAAATCAGAAATCCTCAATTTTTGCGAATTTTTGTTTTAGGAGAAATAAAAAAGCCCTTCATGTTTTGCAAAATATTTTCAAGACATAATTATATTCCCTGAAAAGATTTGCTGAAATGCTTTTAGTGCTTGTTTTCCCTAATTTAGCATGTTAAGAAAATGCTGTAAACAGTAGGCCCTTATGTGTATTATAGTTGAGCATAAAGTATTAGGCTACACAAGAGCTTTATAAATATAAATAATGGAAGAGTTGGAATAATATAAAATTATATATAATAATATATATATATATATATTATATAAATAATATAATATAATGAAATAATAAAAAAGCAGTAAGAGCCAGTCCTTACCTGTCAGAGACAGCTTGGATAGAGAAAGATAAACACTGGAATGGTGTAGGAATGCCTGGATGGTGCAGAGCAGAACAGCTGAAGGTTGGAGCCTGTGCATGCTGCTGTGCAGCACAATGTAGCCATAGTCAGGCAAAGCATGGACCAGATAACTCCAGGATGAAATGGCAAGGTGTATTGGCGGCCATAGATCCAGACACATTTGGTATTTGGATGGCCTGGTCAAAAAGGTGATGGACCTATTGTGAATGGCCTGTGTTAACAAGCTGTGCATTTGGACATGTCTGGATATCAGGACAAGCATGCCAGGTCCCAGCTCGATCTTCATCCCATATACAAGACAAAAGCCTGGTGAGTAGTGATGGTCCTGAGCAACCTGATGCACAGCTGGAGATGTCCGTGATGATATGTCTCTGTTGTAAGACAAAATTTCCTAACTTCATGCCTAACCTTGAGATAACACTACCATGGCTGACTTCTCTCTCATCCGCAACTGTTCGTTTCCATTTCCTTTCTTTCTTCAGTATGGCAGATAAATGTACCCAGTCTTTGCTGTTCTGTCTCCTTCAGAGAGAAAATCATACTCATGCAATATTCTATCCTATACACTGAACTACAAGTAAGAACCAGGCTGTACTGAAGTCAGAATAACAATGACTTCTGTAATCCTGAAGGTACACTGGCATGAAGTTATGTAGCTAATTTTTTGCAAAGATCAGCACAAAATTTAGAATAATTTCACCTCCAAAGCAAAGACTTTTTTTACTGAGAATGTATAAAAGGTATGGAGAAATAAGCCAACTCTCTGATACCCCTTACTCTCTAAATCTTACAGCTAACCAGCAGAGCCAAGGCTGAGCAGAGTCTTGTTCTTGCATCTGAGAGGAAGACCACACACGCCACAATTCTAATTATGAAAAACTATAGTGATTGCAAGGCAGCAGCAGAGGCCGCAGCATCATCAACCATACAGTCTCCCTGAAGAATATAAAACCCATTAGAGTAGTGGTATGACTGTTGCTCCATGAATGCAAATGAAATGCAGCACAGTCGTTTTCTCCTGATTTGCATTGGGATGGGATGGGATGCCCATTGTCACAGCTCCCTGCAGATGCAGGATGGCTCCACTCCATCACAGTGAAAGCAGAAAGCAAATGGCCATGAGCTGAGATGGCATAAAGTGAAGGCTGACACGTAAGAGAGAGTGTTTCTCCTTGTCTCCCTGTTGAGGGGGGCCCTTGTGAATGCAGGCAGAGCTAAAACAAAGCCAATCAGTACTGGGCTGGTAAACATTTCAGCGTTTGAAGTAAACACCTAGAAGAAGGGAATTTCTTTGTTGTGAAACCTGGGAGGGATTTTACTCCTCTTCCTGCACTTTTTGCCTTCATACCAGGAATTACAAGAAAGGTAACAATGTCGTACCTCCTGCAGGCCTTCACGAGGCAAGAAAATCATGCCCATCAGCTCACAGAAGGATAGAGACGCTTGCTGTGAGGAGGCAGGGGTCAGAAATCAGGTCCAAGCCTCCCCCCTTTACCTTGCTTGCCCTCACAGAGTCCAACTGCACTCAGGTTATGGGCAACCAAAGCAGGGAGTTTGCAGTGCTATTATGGTATACAAAGACACATAGCAAACATCGGTGTTACTGAGTGCACTTTGGTAAAAAAAACCAAAGGGTTCTGCAATTACAATGGCTGTGCTAGTGCTTCACTTCCAGGCAGCAGAGAGAACAGCAGTACAGGCTAGGCTGTACAGCCATGTGTGAAGGTGCATGGGTCCTGCACATCTGCACATCTGATGCAGAGGGGCTGTCAAACCACAGCAGCTCTGCGGCTGTGCCTGATTAAACAGGATTTATATGAGTGAGGTGAATTTCACTCAGATCTTGATTCCTCTGCAACTTCCACATCCTTCTCCTTAATGCCACACTGAAATTAGTCTGACGAGGGCTCCAACAGGGTGCTATTCAATGTCAGAGTGTATTAAGAAGAGTAATGAAGCAGAGAAGGCAATCGAGTTTCTGCTCTGAGCATGTGGCATGCTCTGTTGACACATCTAATCACAAAAGACCAAACTGTGTTCCGATATAACTCCAGGACATTATCTGAGTTATATTAGGAATCACATCCTTTACTCACAACAAACTGGGAATTATATTTTGCTCTAATTTGTTTCAGAGTAGACAGCAGTGAAGGGAATCAGCTTCAGTTCCACTCAAAGAAGCACTGTGACCCATGTGTACAGGTTGCACAGGGATGCAGGGTGACAGGGATCTTTCCCTTCTGTTCAGCCATGGGAGTGGGAGGTTAGGCTCTCCCTGACTTACATGTACGAGTGGAAAGGGGGAGATGGAGAGGGCAGCAGACAGAGACGCAATAGAATTAGTTTGTAAATGGCTCTGCATCCCAGCTGCAAAGCCCTTACTGCATCCTTTTGGCTTGGAGACCAAGATTAGAGATGCACCGATGCATGGCAAGAACAGGAAACAGCATGCTCCTTTCCTTTTTTTTTTATGGATAGAGGAGATCAAAGCTTGAAAGAAGGTTTCTGTGTTAAGTATTGCTCTGCACTTGAAGAATAATGCAGTAACAATCTGGCTTGCAATGGGCAACAGTAAATATATACAAAAAGCTATCACAACTTCTGCCTTCATCGACAGCAGCGAAGATGTAGATGTAGACAGAGATGGCTCTAGGAGAGTTAACTCCATTTTCATCTAATGCTGTATCATATTAGAAAAGCTACTAGAAGGACACCTCTTGATGTATTGCAGAAATCTCTATGAAGATCTCTCCTCTGTATGGGAGCTCTCTGCTTGTTAAAAACGAAGGTCTGAATGTTTGGAAATTATAAATATGATAGGGGAAATAGCACAGCAGATTACCTGGCACATGACAGATATATAGCTTATTGCTGAATAATGAATGGGAAATATAATTGATTACTGTCACATCAGCTTCTTAATCATCAGAATTGGCCACAATTTAAGTTAAATATATCAAGTGAAGATTTAAGTTACTAGGATTTAGTAAAAATTAAAAAAAAAAAAGCACTATCAAATTTATTATTTAAACAAGTGAAAATTATCAGTTATCCAGTTTGTATAAATGATCAGATGTTAAAACCTAATAGTTATGGGGCTTAAAAAAGCAAGTACAAAATACTAAGTTATCTTTAGAGTCATGAATGTTATCTAAAGGAGACCCAGACAGGAGCAAAACATCAACTTAAAGCAAGGCACCAGCTTCATCCAACTGTCAGCCCTGGGGCTGCTCTTGTCTGCAGCACTGAGCAAAGGCAGTAAAGAGCATCAGGCACCAGAGGTGGGCAGGAAGATGAGCTGGAGAACCTCACAGAACTGGTATTGCCTTCAGGCTAACTTCAGCAAAGGAGAGCTGGTAACACACACGAATGAGCCTGGCACTTCTTGAAGCAGTATGTTGTCCAGGGGAGAAAAATACCCCAGCAGTGATGTAGGATTTGAGATGGGAAGTGAGTGAGCCCATGTTCTGAAGATACATCACTCCTGAAAGGGGATTCTTCGATATATTTAAGATGATAGTAACAGCAATATAATGGCAGGACAAATAGTCTAGGGTAGGAGGAGATGAATACAAAATCAGTTTAGGTCCAGCAGGGATAGCTTAAAACCAAAAAGTGTCTTGTAAAAAAACTGCAGAAACAGACTGAAGAAGATGGTGAATGATACAGAAATAGAAGGGATGAAGAAGCATGCTTGTTGATTGTGTGACTCACAATAAACTACAAGCACTAAAAGGCAAAGTTCTTCTATCCAAAATCACAGATACCTACAGGGAAGAAGGAGGGTGGAAACCACAGCTCTGCTCCTGCTCTTTACTTTCATTGGTCCCAGATTCTCTACTCTGTGGTAAGGAGAGTAGAAAACACTGAGATATTTTTATCTCTTAGATCTAATAGTCATTTTTCATTCAGACACCTCTGAGCTATCAAACTGTAATTAGCAGTTACTGATACCAAAGAAAGGCAGTCCCTGAAACTCTGTGCAACAGTGACCCATCCCTGCATTCAGCTGCAGCCTGAGGAAGCAGCACGGATGATAGAAAAAGTGGTGAGGAATACTCAAAGGCACAAATTACAGTCAGGACAGGAGGGAAGGGAATCCACGGTGGGTTTGGGGTTAGCAAAAGAGTGGGGAAGGAAGAAGCAGTCCAAAGTACTGACCTGTTTCAAGGTCTCCAGTGCCTGAGGTAACATGCCTTGACTGTACTGCAGTTTGCCCACTCGCATCAGCTGCACAGCCCTCAGTGGATGGAAATCAGGATAATACAGCCTGCGGAGAAAAGGGAGGGAAATGCGTCACTGTGTCGGCTCTCACCTTCACAGTCACTTCTCTGTGGAGAGCTATTAGGGTGAGACTGCAAAGTCCTTGTGAATGTTAATAAGGTACTCAGAGAAAATTAGCTGCTCTACCAAGAAGCATGAAATACTGAGGGGAATTAGAAAATTATTACTCTCTATCTCAGAGGAATGCCTTTAACATTATCCTGTTAGGAAGTGACTGGAGTGGGATTATTTCATTTGCTACGTTGGATAGCACAATAGCATTTACTGTATATTTAGTGTTGCAAACAGAGGTCGTTCACAATCCTACATCCCCGAAGAGGTATGCATAATTTTTTTAAGGAAGCTTCAGTAGGAAAACCTGTCCTGGGTCCTATAAGATGAAGGAGAAGGACTGCACACGACACCAAGTGTGTCATCATTTCTGAGGGATTGCTTGCTGCTCCTTATTGCAGAAAGAACTGGTAACGCATGTTCAAAGTAACATTTTGGTTTTGGCTCGTGAATATAGGCAGGGTATTTGCTAAAATGAGGAAAAATTCCTTTTCTCAATTTCACAGAAGCAGAAGTTTTCCATCAACCTCACTGGAGTTACTTTCAGAACAACATATGTTGAGATGAAAGCAGAACTGTGTTCTCTTTTCCCGAGGATGTAGATGGAGGGCAATGTCATCATTAATTCCCTTCAAGACACTCATGAAACGTCGTAAGTCTAAAATGAAAATAAGTAAGCATCATGGAAAATGCTTGCACACCCCAAATTCCTTTTTCTGCTGATTTCACACAATTTCGGTGAAGACACAGAAACACATGGGAAGCACACCCAGTAGGATCTCTGTACCCTGATCTATGAAGGCCTCTTCTGAGGCAGTAGAAACCAGCTTCTTGTGAAGAATTCATCCTAAATTCCCATGTGCACCACCTGTTCAGACCACAAAACTACAAGAAGTGCACAGCGGTGTTCTCAGCCCTCTTGGGGGTTGCAGCCCAAAAAGGAGAGTCAGTAGGCTAAAGAGAAGAAAAATGGCAGTACTTGTCTCAGTCCTAACCGATCATTAAGGAATTTCAGTGATTCAGATGAATAGACACTAGAAATCTATCAGAAGGGTTATTTTTAGATTTTTTTTTTTTTTCTGATGACTGTATCAACTAACATGGTGCTATCTGCTAATAGTTAAAGAAAAAAAATGCAACTAAGTCTGAGATTTTGATGTGGATTAGCAAAGAGTAAATAGGAATTGCAGAGATAGCATGGCACAAATGGGAATAGTGATGATGTGCGCAACTTTCTAAAACTTGCAAAACAATGATACCATTATGGGTGCATATTTCTCCCCTCACCTGTGACTGTGGCTATGAATGGAGTAAAAAGGTAATTCCCCCTTTAATTCAGGGCTACTGAAATACTGGGATGCCTTGGTCAACGATCATGGCCATAGAAGCAGCAGCAAAGAGTTTTGTGTGGATAAGTTTCTGCAGTCCTTGGTAGACTTTGCTGCTCCCTGCTCTGATTCTTCTCTGTCTGGTCCTTCATGAGATCACATGGACAAATGCAGGCTGCGCTTCAGTCTGGCAACATGTGGCTTGCTGAACTTCACGGGGATCCACCAGAGTGCAGAATCCGTCCCTGCATGCAGACAGCTCTCTCTTTATAGCTCACACGTTCACTTGCAGTCAGTGAAGATTTACCACTGTGGTATGGGCAATACCCAGAGAAAACAGGAGGCCATTTAACAATGTCAGGTACTCTGTCCAGACTACCAACCATAAACTAAAGCAAGTGAAAATTTAAGATGAGGACATAGGAGGACTAAGTGTGGAACAACGAGCTCTGAGTTCATAAATATTTACAAAGCTATTTTACTGCACTGATTTATGTTCAGATCTTGTGCATGTATATAGTTACATTTGCAAGTCTTAAAATTGACATTTGAAACTACTATTTATTATCATATTCCGGAATAAATCTGTTAAACTACTGGAACACCTTTCATGAAAGCATCTGCATTGAGTGAGTTTACAAGAGAAATTTGGGCAGCTTGCAGCTCTTCTGGAAGACATGTAAGTGGGCAGAAAGTCATTCATTTCTTCCAGGCATCCCCAGAATTCAATATGGCATGGCAAAAAGAATTAAGAAGCAGTGTCAGGTAGTCGAGAGCAAATCTGTTATCCTTGTATGTTGCTCTGAACAAAACAAATGGATATGTTTAATACTAAGGGAGACATTTACCAGCCAGAGAAACTGGTACCTAAAGACTGTCAACATGAGAATAACACAACTATAGAGGAATACATCCTGCAAAACACGGTACAGCTTGGGAAGAGTAGGATTTCAATCTGAAAAGGGTTTTATGAGATTTACCAAGGCCTGAGGGACGGGAAGGGGAACAGCATCATATTGAAAGATGAAATAAAGGAAGACAGTTCTGTGGAGTGATGTTTCCTGCCCCTTGGCACTGGTCAATGCACAGCAATTCACTTGCAAAGAGAGATTAAACAGACTACAATAACTATCAACTAAAGCTGCACTGTAAGCAAGACAACTGGAGGAGGCTAGGAGAAATCTTTAAATTTTAAACCCCAGACTTAATCTAAGACAGTACAACTTTGTTTCAGCCTCTGGCTAGCAGCACCCAAGCCAGCCTGTCCCTTGCCTATCTGCTGGTCCCAACTTGGTGTCACTTGAAATAACAGCAAAGCAGCTTCTAGTGCCCCCTCCAGGTTGTTGGTGGAGGTGTTAGGACCAGTCCTGAATAGGACCCAGGCAGCACTAAATGGTACTGGCTGGCATTCAGTCAGCAACATATTGGCCAAAACCCTCTGACTTCCACCATCCAACCCTTTTGTTACCTATCAAGCTGTCTGCTCATCTGCACTGTAATATTCTAACCTGGATGACAACTCCCTGGCCCTTTTGGCCTTTCATATATGATAGTCAGTAACGTGGCCAGCTCTCTTAGTGCCTTTGCTGGAGGCAGCCATCGAGCCCAATGGGTTTGTCTGAGTCATACTCTCTCAGAAAGTCCCCAGCTCAACTCTCTTTCTGGGTTGTGCCAGGTATACTGCACAGGTAAGAGTGAGGCAAAGAAAGCACTGTCTAGCTGACTATTCAAAACCTCAAATGAAAACTATAACTTAGTCTCCAGGTAGCTTACTTCAGTGTTTCACTGTTCCAGGAACCAGCAATTTCTGCATTTCGTTCACTTAATAGAAGGATATCAATATTCAGTAGACAAAGATAAGGCCAATACTCTGTAAAGCCATAGCAGTTTCTAATACACCATGAATTCAATAGCCCCTATTTGCAGTTCAGCCCTGACATTTGCCTTGATTAACCTCCAGAGCAGTCACTGTTCATACACTTTATAAAGAAAAATTTTCTTCATTCTATATCTCTATTTCAGCTCTGAATCCCTTCAAGCAATCATCTGCATTCTTTTATATACAACAATGTAAAAAAAAAAATTAACAGAAACAAACTTGACAAATTTTAGTCAACTCCTTCTACTTCTTAATACTGTGATTCCTCTAATTTCACTCAAATTATCTCCCATTAGAGCATGAATAATCAGAAATTTTGTGTTCTCCTAGGAGCTAAAGCCTACTATTAAAAAAGAAAGAATATGCAAAATCAATGTCTTTTCTGATACCTCATATTTTAAAATAAACTCCTGCCATTTCCTCTGTCTCTGTAAATCTGTCTGCAGGGTTAACATTTGCACCTTTGTCTTCAGCCTGACGTAATTAGAAGCAGGCAGGATTTGTAAAACCTGAAATGAGGGTTTAAAATGGAAATGTTACAAGGCTCTTTAATATGGTGACACGTGAAAAGTGATGCCATACATGACTGCAAATTGCTTTGTAGTACCTTTTAGTGCAAGTAAATATGACAGCATAAAAGACATAAAGCAGTTTTAGGAGCCACGGCAACAGAGAAGGAATTAAGAACAGGCTTCTGGGCTTCAGGAAAGGTGTGAGCCGAATGCAAAGAGGAAAGCATCAGCCTCTAGACAGAAATGCACTAGCTATGCTGGATGGAAATGTTCACACAAATACAGCACCTGATAAGTGTGACCCTCTTATCTTCTTCTTCTTCTTCTTCTTTTCTTTTTACTTATTCTTGATTTCAGATTGAATCAATATTTGAGTACATTCATTAAAGCTGTTCACATGACTGCTGTCTAAGAATTATTTTTATGGTGTCCAGCTATTTGTTTTTTTTCCATTATTTATTGATGCGACACTGGTTATCTAATTCACATGATAATTTTTCCATTCAGTGACTGGGATGATTTTTAGGACAAATTTAAGGACAAATTGTTAATTACGCTAAAAAGTACAAAATGTTTGGTATCTATTGACGTTTCCAAGAATGGTCCAGTTGCTTTATGAACAGTCAAAGAAATTATATCCCTCGAGAATATAGAACAGGTAAACTACCTATGCTCATCATCTGGGAGCTCGTAGATCTTAATACCTAAAAAAAGGGACTGTGCTACAGCTGCTCATTCTGATCTCTGAATTTCACCTATCCGTTCCTACACCAAAAACGGGAATCTAAAGCTGAAATAGTGCTTAAAAAGCAATGTTGTATTTATAGAAAATATCCTTTTTTATAAATAATTACTTTAATATTATAATAAACACTGGCCCTGCACAAGAGCTTAGTCTGAAATAAAACAAGGCTATAGGGTTATTTCTGGAGGAAATGAGAAAATGTTATTGATACTGGAATAAATGACTTTGTTTTCCATGCTAAGTATTAGAAGTCACATTGTAATTGTTTAATTTCTCAGGGCAGTATGCCTATATTAACTGATGTATAATCTTTAGCGTTCCCCCATGGAAGTCTGGCCCTGTTCTCATGTTACCACATGTTTTTTTCTTGGAATAAGAACAGTTTTAAACAGACATTCCTTCCTCCCTATCTCAATTCCCTATTTATGGATGACCTGGAATGATTAAATCAGTTCAGGACCTTACAACTCC